AAGGTGTCTATAGAAAAATGTAAAACTGGAATTGGGCTTCAAATAGGATCTTGGCCGCTCAAACCTCCCTGGTGATTTGCCTTTATGTTGCCACCACCATTCAGATCCTCCCAAGCATTCCTTTGCATTTTTCTTTCTCTATCCTTCAGTTCTTATAAAAGAAATGTGTTAAAAGGGCCAGAATGAAAATGTGTTCCTGCTGAGATCTGTGTGTTCCACGAAGGCTTGTTTTACTGAATTATTTAGGTGGTAAATTTATTTTGCAAGTATTTAATCATCCTCTTTTAAATGATAAAACACCACTTTCAAAAGCTTCAATTTCATTGTTTAGCCAGTCTTTTCTTTAGATGCAGAAAAGCATTATTAATCCACTTCTGTGACTACTATTAAATGTTATACCCTAGGAAACAATAATTCATGCTCTTGATAGTTCTATGATTAAAAATTAATTCACCACCCTCAAGGTCTAATGTCAAAGTTATTATCTTCACATTTCAGGTGAGTTTAACAGCACCTCTGACTGAATTTATTTAACATTTTGTTGCCCCTAGGGGTTAAATGTGTTGCTATTGTTGTTGTTAGGTGTTGTCCAGTGGGTTCTGACTCATAGTGACCTTTTGCACATCAGAACAAAACACTGCCCAGTCCTGCATTAATCTCACAATTATTCTGTTTGAGCCCATTTTTGCAGCCCATGTGTCATTCCATCTCTTTGAAGGTGTTCCTCTTTTTTACTGACCCTCCACTTTCCCAAGCATAGTTTCCTTTACTAGGGACTGTTCTCTCTTGAGAATATACCAAAGTATGTGCGACTAAATCTCGCCATCCTTGTCCCTAAGAGCATTCTGGTTGTACTTCTTTGAAGACAGATTTGTTTTTCCTTCTGGCATTCCATGGTACTTCCAGTGTTCTTTGTCAACCCCGTAACTCAAGTGCATTAGCTTATCTCTGGTCTTCATAATTCATTGTCCAGCTTTCATACACATATGCCACAATGGAAAATGCCATGACTTGTTAAGTATATATGTTTTAAAACGGTGTCCTTATTATATGAGGAGCCTTGATACTGCTCTTGGATCACGGTGAGGTTACTAATGTAAAGTTTGGTGGTTCAAACCCATTTTCTGTTGCGTGGAACCACATGAGACTGTCTGTTCCCATAAAGATTCGCAGTCTCTCAGAAACCCTAGGTGAGCTCTTTGCGAGCTGGAACTGGCTCATGGCAGTGGGTTGATAGATGGAATGTACCCGTGTATGATTTTCATTGCTGATTTTATAGGTTTTGTTAACCATCTATTTAAAATTCATGACACCAATTTTGTATTGCTTAGGAAATTCTAATGACCATAGTAGTGTTCACTGTATCCTTGAATCCCAGAAAACATTTTTACCCTTGGCATCACTTGTCTACAGAAGGTAAAGTGTACCATTACAGACTTCTTTGCTATTGCTTCATACTGTTAGCACCCCAGGACTTTTGCATAATATACTAAAATATTGGCAAAACAGGATGTCATTCATCCAACTCTGGCTGTTCCACAGTTTTAAACCAAATGCCAAATGTGAGTATAACGAGTTCACAGAAAGACGTATTTTGACATAGTCTACGGCTTTCTTTCACAGCAATTCCCAAAAGACATGATCAACGAAGAAGTGATAGAGCTCTTGAATCCTTACTTTGAAATGGCAGACTACAATATCGAGATGGCAAAGCGAGTGTGTGGGAATGTGGCCGGTCTTTGTTCCTGGACAAAAGCCATGGCTTCCTTCTTTTCTATCAACAAAGAGGTGTTGCCTCTGAAGGTAAATCTCCCAGGCAGAACTGCATGGAATGCTTCTGTATCAGGTCTCTAGGTCAACTGGCCTTATCTTCTCGCTACAACACAGGAGACCACAACTTCCGTGTTATTGTACTCACGTCCCCAGGGACAGCATGGCCCAGAAAGGCCATGCAGTGCGTGTATCATTCGTCTCAGTGCCCCTTTTCCAATCGGAATGGTCTAAGGCCTTAAGAATGGACTCTTTATAAGGATGCAAAGTCCATCATGCACTGCTGGGTAATTTCCTTCCAGATATCAATTTCAAATAAAAACCACAGGAAACTATAGCAAAAGATAGTCCTATAACATTCGAGATCTCCTGCTAAGGTAATGTATAAGCAAGGCAGAAGTTAAGATATAATAAGTTGATGACTGGAAAATGCCTAAAACTGACCTTATTTGTAAGATATGAGAGAGTACCACTTCTCTGCTTCCTCATTCCTCAGAAAAGAAACCAAACATGGCCTATTTGTTCTGTATTATGACTTTGAGACTATGCTTTGCTTCATTTTAAACTTCCTTGGTGTATAATACCTTTCCATTAAAAGATACCCAGAGTTCAGTAAATAAAGAGGCAAGTACTTCATTTTTTTGGTAAATAGAATACTGATACCTCATTAACACATCTGGTTTCATTGTTTTGCTTTATCTAGAAGCCTGATCTCTTTTTAATGCCAACTAAAATTAACTTTCATTACTCTCATTACTATTTCTCAAGGGTTTATCTATCTTTGATTTCATGCATCAAAAGATCTTAATTATACAAATGAACATATGCAGGTCTAACAAGATTAATGAGTTAAAATTAAGACCATAATAGTGAGCGGAGGAAATATTAAAGAACTAGAGGATAGTTATGTGCTTCATCAGTGCTGAATTGCACCCTGGAGATATCATCCCTTCTGTGTGGCCCTTCTGTGAGTGGCTGTCCAATTATCTTACAGGTGAGTTTTGGGTCTCCACTTTGCCTATGGTCCGTCATGTCAATTTGCTTGTTTTTGAACTTCTGCTACCTATTCCTGTCGACACCTCATGATCACACAGGCTGGTGTACTTCCTCCATGTGGGCTTTGTTGCTTCCCTGCTAGATGGCTGCTTGCTTAATTTCAAGTCTTTAAGTCCTCAGATGCTTTATCTTGTAATAGCCAGGCACCATAAACTTTCTTCACCACATTTGCTTATGCACCCATTTTGA